TTTTGGGGGGGGGTCCTTATTACAAATATATTCTAGTATACTAAAAATTCATTCTCATCATGATATTCTGCATTAACTCCAGTCTTACCCTTGTGCATAGGAGGCTTTATTCCATGTACCCGGGACCTTGGTGGTTGTCTGCTTGTCTGGGTACCTACAGCATGGCCCAATTACGCTTCATCAAGCACTACCTGTAGTCTCCATTGTTATTCCTTTTTTTGGTTTAACGAATTATATGTTAAGGATTTTATAAGGCATCCCCAAAAAGGAACTACAATGGAGACTATATAGGTATACCTTAAAATCCGTAAGCCTTTTAGGATTCTCCCATGTGAGCATATTCCTCATGTATGGGGTGTTTCGTTTTTTGAGATACTAGACCCTATAAAGCCCAAAGCCCGCTAATCCCTGCAGATGTTCGATGAGCACCTACCCTAAGGGTCCATGTACTCATATGGCATATATATGGGCTCTAAAGTACCTATATAGGGACTACATTAAGGCCATTGTATATACATATGGGCACATGGACCCTTACGGCTCTAGACCCTGAAGCCATCAACACTGGAGGCCTCGAAGCCCAAAGTCCCTTCGAGTCCCCATAATCCACAGAACCTTACACAACATAAACCGCCGTTATACTCTAGTCCCCTTATTTACATCTGGTCCTCTTATGGCAACCCTTCATGTAATTTAATACCGCAATATAGAAGCCTGCCTAAATAGCAACAGTGTCCCCCTTTCGTCCTCAGATGATGATGCTACAACATGCTCGCCGAAGCCTTGCTCTAATCATTAAGGCCCCCGCTTGCAGGCTCAACCAGAAAGTGCTCGACTGGGATGTGCCCTTCGAGCGGCGGCTTATCTCATCTTGACTGGCTCCAGGGTGCAGGGTGTACTACTGGGGTCTGGGTAAGTAGTGACAATAGGCCCTTACAGTCCCAAAATGCACCTAAACCCTAAACCCTAAACCGTAAACCCACGCTACTGAATGCATTGTTTTGGTTCTCAAACTATCAGCAGAATCATGGTTGCTCTTCCCCACAAACAATACCATGATCGATGATCCTCGCCGTTCCTAGCGTTTAGGTATGCATAGGACAGCGAGGTGGGCGAACACTCGGCAAGTATGCATCCCGATAATTATTGAAGAGCAAAGAACGTAGTACGCTCCCAGTTACAACGGTTATACGTTGGATACTGCGCCTACTCAGTAACAGTCATGTTTGTAATATAGATTTAAGGACTTGGGTCATACCCTTACCATTGACTGTTACCGTATGGGGTGCAGTACCCAAGTTATGTTGTGTGCTTTCCAGAGCTTATGGGCAAGGTGCTGCAAGAATCAGCCGTATGACCTGCATTGAAAATCGGAACTGCTTTTTGTGTTTAAATGTAGGTCTTCTTTGAGGTATCTAAAGGTACTTGCATTGCCATCCCCAATCTAGGTCGGTCCTACACCGGGACCGCAGGATCGGCTAGGAACCCCAATAACCCTTAGCATCAAAATAGCCCAAAAGCCGTCTATAATAGGGTCTTTGGGCCCAAAAGCTCTAAAATATGAGTCCTTAGAGTCCTAGGGTAATGTCCGCTGAGGGTTCCACCTCATTCTACAGCCGGATTCCTGAAACTCTAGCTTCGATTTCTTGGAACCTCTCAGACCCCAAACCCCTAAACCCTGAACCCCAAACCCTAATCCCTAAACCCTACACCCCTATACCCTACACCTGATGACCTTAAGCCGAAAGTTTCAGCCCAAACCCTGAAATCCTAAACCCTACACCCCAAGCACTAAGCTCTAAACGCACAAGCCCTCCCGTGAAACCCTGCACACTTCCAAATCCCTTATAGACACCCCGTCTTAAGGATGGTGCTCCGTCAGGGAACCCTTAAAGGGACTACTATAGGGGCCTTAAAATTAAAAAATAATTAGGGTTTGGGGCCCATTTTTCTATATTTGTAATAAGGAACCCACAAAAAAGGTATAGTTACTTATTCAAGCCCCTACATTAATTTATAGGTGCCCCTACTACACCCCTACTACCACCTCCCTACTACCCCCCTACCCCCTACTACACCCCAAGGGCAGGGGCAGAGCCAGGGGCAGGGGCAGCGGCAGGGGCAGAGCCAGGGGCAGGGGCAGCGGCAGAGGCAGGGGCAGGGGCAGGGGCAGGGGCAGGGGCAGGGGCAGCCTTCACAGAAGCCCTGAGCCGCCGAGGCTGGGCAAGGATCCGGCCACTGAGGTCAAAAACTTCTGCAGACACTGGGGCGTGCCCCTCGCATCTCGGAGTGACACCAGGTTTAGGGTTTAGGGGTTACTGCAAGCGGTAGTAGTACAAAAAAATAACAGTGAAAGCCTGACGTAGGGGCCTCAGTAATCAGAATAGGGTTTGGGGCTCCTTTATAGTCATAGTATACAGGACCCCTAAGCAATAATGCTGGTAATTATGTTGGCTTCTATATTGTTACTAGAAGCGAACAAGTAGGGTAGCTCAAGAATCGGATTTCCAAAACGATCACTACAGTTATCAAGGCCTAGGGTTCATCTATATACTGGCTTAGGATGAAGGGGTGTTAAACTATCGCAAGGCTAATAGATTGAGATTCAGGGTGCTTAGGTGTTTGCAGTTTGCAATTCAGGGTTGAGTGTTTCGGGTTCGGTAGGGGAGCAGCAATGTCCGCAACAGTTGAGCAAGCTCTCCCTCTGATCGTAACCGCAGTCGTCGTAGTAGTAGTAGTAGTAGTAGTAGTAGTAGTAGCAGGAGCAGGAGCAG